GTAGTTCTCTTTCCTGGTTGAGTCTTTGAGTGGTTTTGGTATCAGAGTAATTGTGGCTTCATAAAAGGAGTTTGGTAATGACCCTTCTGTTTCTATCTTGTGGAATACATTAAGGAGTATAGGTATTAGATCTTCTTGGAAGATCTGGTAGAATTCCGCATTGAAACCATCTGGTCCTGGGCTTTTTTTGGTAGGGAGGTTTTTGATAACCTCTTCTAATTCTTCGCGACTAACAGGTCTATTTAGATTGTTCACCAGGTCCTGATTTAACTTTGGTATATGATATTTATCTAAAAAAGTATCCATTTCCTTTACATTTTCCAATTTTGTGGCATATAGGCTTTTGTAGTAAGATCTAATGATTCTCTGAATTTCCTTTGTGTCTGTGGTTATGTCCCCCTTTTCATTTCTGATCTTATTAATTTGCAAATTCTCTCTCTGCCGTTTGATTAGCTTGGATAGTGGCTTGTCAATCTTGTTGATTTTCTCCAGGAACCAGCTTTTTGTTTCATTGATTTTTTGTATTGTTTTCTGTGTTTCTATTTTGTTGATTTCAGCCCTCATTTTGATTATTTCCAGTCTTCTACTCCTCCTAGGTGAGTCTGCTTCTTTTTTTTCTAGAGCTTTCAGGTGGGCTGTTAAGTCTCCAATGTGAGCTTTCTCTGTTTTCTTTAAGTGGGCACTTAGTGCTATGAACTTTCCTCTTAGGACTGCTTTCATAGTGTCCCATAAGTTTGAGTATGTTGTTTCTTTATTTTCATTGAATTCCAGGAAGACTTTAATTTCTTTCTTTATTTCTTCCTTAATCCAGCTATGGTTCAATAGTTGACTGTTCAGTTTCCATGATTTTGTATGCTTTCTGGGGGTAGCATTATTGTTGAATTCTAACTTTAATCCATGGTGATCTGATAAGACACAGGTGGTTACTAATATTTTTTTGTAACTGTGGATGTTTGCTTTGTTACCGACTATGTGGTCGATTTTCGAGAAGGTTCCATGAGCTGCAGAGAAGAAGGTATATTCTTTCCTATTTGGATGGAATGTTCTATAGATGTCTGTTAAGTCCATTTGATTCATTACCTCCACTAATTCTCTTATTTCTCTGTTAGGTTCCTGTCTGATTGACCTGTCCATTGGTGAGAGAGGAGTGTTGAAGTCTCCTACTATTAGTGTGTGCGGTTTGATGGGTGCCTTGAATTTTAGCAATGTTTCTTTTATGTACGTGGGTGCTTTTATATTAGGGGCATAGATGTTCAGGATTGAGACTTCATCCTGATGAACTGTTCCTGTTATGAGTATAAAATGCCCCTCTCCATCTCTTCTGATTGATTTAAGTTTAAAGTCAACTTTGTTAGAGATTAGTATGGCCACACCTGCCTGTTTCTTAGGTCCATTTGCTTGATAGGTCTTTTCCCAGCCCTTTACTCTGAGTAGGTGCCTGTCTTTGTGGTTGAGGTGTGTTTCTTGTAAACAGCAGAATGTTGGATCCTGTTTTCTTATCCAATCTCTTAGCCTGTGCCTTTTTATAGGTGAATTGAGTCCATTGACATTAAGTGATATTAATGACCAGTGGTTGTTAACTCCGGTCATTTTTTTTTAGTCGTAGAGTTTGTGTGTTTCCCTTCTTTGTTTTGTGTTGGTGAAGGGTCTCTAGATGTCTGAGTTATTGTGGTCATTGTTGGACTCCTTGGTTAGTGATTTTCCTTCAATTACTTTCTGTAAGGCTGGATTTGTGGCTGCGTATTGTTTAAATTTGTTTTTATCCTGGAAAATTTTATTTTCTCCATTTATAGTGAATGAAAGCTTGGCTGGGTATAGTAATCTGGGCTTGCACCCATGGTCTCTCAGTTTCTGCAGTACATCTATCCAGGACCTTCTGGCTTTCATGGTTTCCATGGAGAAGTCAGGTGTAAGTCTGATAGGTTTACCTTTATAAGTAATTTGGCCTTTTTCCTTTGCAGCTCTTAATATTCTTTCCTTATTCTGTATGCTTTGTGTTTTGATAATTATATGGCGAGGGGATGTTTTTTTTTGATCCAGCCTATTCGGTGTTCTGTATGCTTCTTGCACCTTCATAGGAAAATCTTTCCGTAGGTTGGGAAAGTTTTCTTCTATAATTTTATTAAATAGATTTTCTGGACCATTGAGCTGCCCTTCTTCTCCTTCTTCTACTCCTATTATTCTTAGGTTTGGTCTCTTTATTGTGTCCCATATTTCCTGAATGTTTTGTGATGAGAGTTTGTTGGACTTGCTGTTTTCTTTGATCAGTGTGTTTATTTTCTCTATGGTATCTTCAGAATCCGAGAGTCTTTCTTCTATCTCTTGTATTCTGCTGGTTATGCTTGTTTCTGTAGTCTCTATTCGTTTACCTAGATTTTCCATGTCCAGACGGCCCTCTGTTTGTGTTTTCTTCTTTGCCTCTATTTCAGTTTTCAGGTCTTGAACTGTTTCCATTATCTGTTTGATTGTTTTTCCTTGGTTTTCTAGGGTATCATTCACTGATTTATTCAATTCTTCAAACTTTCTGTTATATTTCTCATCCATTTCTATAAGGGCGTTTTTTACATGCTGTTTAAGGGTGTCAATCACTTTCATGAAGTCAATCTTTTCTCCTTCCTCTTGATTAAGGGGTTCTTGTCCTCCCGTTGTGGGGTCGCTTGTTTCTGGTAGCTTCATGTTGCTTTTCAGCTTGTTGGGCGAATTCTTGCCTTGACGTCGGCCCATCTCTTCTTCCAAATGCTCCCTATGGATCTTCTTTTACCGGATTAGGTCTCCTTGCCTACCAAACGCTGTCTCTCCCCAATGTTGGCTCTCCCAATGCTGGGTCTCCTGGCGCCGAAAGATCAGGCCTCCGTGCTGGTTGGGCAGCTTGCAGACAAAGCGCCTACCCCGCTTGGTGCAGGCAGGCCACAGAAACAAAGGAACTGCTGCCCGCCCGGGAGCCCCGGGTACTCGGACCCAGCGCCCAGATAGGCTGCGCTGGGCGATGCCACGCGCCAAAAGAGGGTAGTGGGGGCGAAGTGGGGAGGGCTCTGGACGGAAGCTGGGTGGGCCAGGAAGAAAGAGGCAGCACCCGGGGAGTAGAGGCCCTGCAGAGAGCCCAAGCAGGACAGGGGGCCAAGAAACCCCCGAGCTCCCCGTCCCAGGCTGGCGCCGTGGGCCAGAAACTCACCCCAATGCTGGGTCTCCTGGCGCCGAAAGATCAGGCCTCCGTGCTGGTTGGGCAGCTCGCAGACAAAGCGCCTCTTAAACTTTCTTTTTACTTATTCTTTTTGTGTCCTTTGCATCACACATCTCGATCCCATTCATTTCCCATCCCTTTGTATCAATTCTCTGCCCTTGCAGCTTCCCCCTTAAAATAAAATAAAATTCAAGAGAAAAAGAAAAAAGGACAAATCTCATCTTGGAAGCTGTAGCATGACACAGTGAGTCACGCAGTAGACCCTTTTATCCACATTATCTTTACTTGCAAGTGTTCATTGCAGAGAGTCATTGATCTGGTCCAAGGCCTCTGGTTTCTACTACACTATCGATGCTGGGCCCTCACTGTGACTCCTCTTGGTTATCCTGCAGTTGCCCTGTGTCATGGAGATCCTACAGCTTTGGGTCTGCAGGGCTGGCCTTCCTGTGCTCCAGCAGATCACAGACGGGGTGGATGTTGGAGTGGGCTAACACATAGCCCTGGTTCTGGGCCTGGGTAGTTGCAGGGTTGGTCAGCCCACCAGCTCTCCCCTGTCTTCACCTCCAGGGCAAGCTCTCCAGCACTGCCCAGCTAGTTTTCCCCTTGAAAGAGGTGGGGCCAATTCTGCTTTCACATTCTCGGAGTTGGCTCTCCTGCTCCTACACCTTCAAGGGCCAGCTCTACTGTGTTGCCCAGGCGTGTGCAGGGGACAGCTCTCCCACCTTCCATAGGCAGTGAGGGGTGTCAGGGAGAGAGCTTCTTTGCCCCACCCACACCACCATATGTCAGATCAGGGGCAAGACCAGATTTCCCATGCTCATGTTCTCAGAGGGACCAGCACCTAGTCAATAGGGTCAGCTCTGTTGTGCTGCCCAGGCAAGATGCAGGGCCCACTTTCCCAAGTGATGTAGCTGATAAGGGGAAGGGTCAGCTCCCTTACCCTCACCACGACATGGCAGATGAGGGGCCTGTGGCCAGCTATCTCACTCTCCTACCTTCAGGGCCAGTTCACCCTTGCTTCTGCCAGAAGGGTGAGCTCTACTGTGCTGCCCAGACAAGGAGCATGGCCCGGTTGCCTGAGTGCTGCAACTGGTTAGGAGGAGGGTCAGGTCTTTTGTCTGTCATTTGTCACAGGCAAGTGAGGGGTATGGGGGAGCGACATCTTCCACACACCCACACATAATGCAGTATTTTTATTGAGAGTTCTTCTGACAAGATAGTTCCCCAGATAAAGTTGCTTATCAAAAAGCCTAATGACCTAAGATAGATCTCTGGATCCTACATGATGGAAGGAGACAACTGTCTTCTACAGGTTGTCCTCCAACCTCTGTTGGCTTGTATGTTATGTGCGATGGCATGGACACATACACCCAATGAATTTATAAAATAGAATAAAATTGTAATTGTGCTTTTCAAGAGGAAAAATTATCAGTTTTTCTTTTATTGTATGACAAGTACATTTCTATTACATTTTTTCTCATTGTATTATGTACATGACAGTGGGGGGTGCACTATGTTGGTTTCTTCCTTAGAAAATTGACTTTTTACTTTACCTTATAAAAAACATTAAAGGATTAAATTAAAGGTGTTTAGCTTAATAAAAGAGTCATGGTTTTCTGTCCTATTAGTCTTCTGCATTTAAGTAAGTTTCAGTATCTTTGAAAATGCTCACAACTTTCTCATTCATTTATTTATAATCCAACATTTGACAAGTCTTAGAATAGGTGATTTCTATGGCTGTGGAAATAGAATTGCCTTCTTATAGCTGTCTAAAACTTAACTATATTAATGAAAATTTATATGTTTATATCCTTTTTAGGTGGATTATGTATTTACCGATAAGACTGGAACACTCACTGAAAATAGCATGGAATTCATTGAATGCTGCATTGATGGACACAAATATAAAGGCACAACTCAGGAAGTTGATGGACTATCTCAAACTGATGGGCCCTCAGCCTTTTTTGATAAAGCAGATAAGGTGACATTTTCCCAATTAATATATTCCCTGAGAAATCAATATTTATAAGCATTTGTTATTATTACATAGTGGAAATACAGTATTTTCCAATGGGCACATGATACAGACCTTTGAATAATCATTTGTACTTTGAATACACCTTCTTTTATTAACACCTTTAGCATTTATAAACAACTAGAAGTTACAAGTAGAATTATAGGAAATGGCATTTGAACAAAACATTAACTTGGCTGTATGTGGATTCACATTTTAAAAAAAAAATCAGCTCCTCTAAGAAGTCATCTTTTCAAATATAGATTTGAAGTTCTAGATTTTCATGTTAAACCGATCAAAGTCTCCTGACACTTGAACAATTGCTAGATTGTGACTTAGATACCTAATTACCTCTTAGGCTATGAAGTTATAGCCTTAGGTATAGGTGGTACTACTCTAACCTGGATGAGTTAATACATATTCCAGGGATGCTGACTATGAACCCGTAATTCTTTTAGTTGCTAGGTATGCTTTTGAGTATTGGGAATTTATAAATTTTCATTAGCTAGTTTCTTAGAGATTATAAAATGCTGTCACATTAATATCTTTTCTTTGTTCTCTTTCTGGTTACCTAGGGATAAAAATAATAGTCATTTTCCGTTTCTGTTTTACAGAACCGGGAGGAACTCTTTCTGCGTGCCCTGTGTTTATGTCACACTGTAGAAATTAAAACAAATGATGCTGTTGATGGACCTACAGAAGCAGCTGAATTCACCTATATCTCCTCCTCACCAGATGAAATAGCTTTGGTGAAAGGAGCAAAAAAGTAAGCATTTCTTTTACTTCTGAGAAAGTGAAACCACAGGAGGGCAGAAGTTTGTTTGTTTACTTTTTCATTTGCTTCAGTAACTCTTTCTTGTGCCTTTCCTATTATGTAACTTCAAAAAGAAAATAGTGATACATTTGTTTAGCTTGACTTATTCATGTATTCTGACATTAGTCCAAATTGTCATACTATTTTGTAAATCAGTGGCAGCTTTTGTATAACACATGTAATTTCTGAATGCTGCCAGCAATTTTGATGTCATTTGGTAACTGACAATCTAGTTTACACATGAGATTCAAGATGACTAAGTACCTAAAAGGCCACATACTATGTTTGCTGAAAAATTGGAATTACAGATTGAATACAGTAGTAGCCAGTCATTGGCTTGCTCTTTGTTGGCAAATGAAATAGGAAATGCAATTGGAGATTGAGATTGTATAAAAGAAGAAAGGAATTTAAAAAGATAGGTAATAAAGTGAAAGAGGAAAATAACTGTTTCTTGAAGATATACAAGTCTTTATTGTTTTTGATAGGTTTGGGTTCACATTTTTGGGAAATTGGAATGGACATATACGAGTAGAAAACGAAAGAAAAGAAATAGAAGAGTAAGTAGTTCTATATTTTGATGTTTGTCATTTTTTTAAACCAATTGTGAACATTAATGCTTTGCTCAGCCTGATGCAGGGAGGAAGGGCTTGTTCCTGCCTCAACTGAATATACCAGACTTTGTAGACTCCCCCATGGGAGGCCTTATCCTTTTGGAGTAGTGGACAGGTGGGGAAGGAGGTCAGGAGGAGGGATGGGAAGGGGAATTGTGGTTGTATGTAAAATGAATTAAAATTTTAAAAAAAGATTTGAAAGAGAGTAAGAAGTAGTTTATGGAAGGGCTTGGAGGGAGAAAAACGGGGGTAATGTAATTATACTATAAATAAATCAAGTAATCATATTATGAACTCAAAAAATAAAAGTAGCTGGGCGGTGGTGGTGCACGCCTTTAATCCCAGCACTCGGGAGGCAGAGGCAGGCGGATCTCTGTGAGTTCGAGACCAGCCTGGTCTACAAGAGCTAGTTCCAGGACAGGCTCCAAAACCACAGAGAAACCCTATCTCGAAAAACCAAAAAAAATAAATAAATAAAAAAAATAAAAGTAAATATATTCAGATAGTAAAGAAAACTTAATGTACCTATAAATATTGAACTGTGTTCTCCCATTTCAGGATTTCATATAAATATAGTTGGAGTAGGAAAAGCTATTTTTCATAGAGCGTCAAAAATGAGGATTTAAAGTAGAAACTCCAGTTTGGTTTACGTGTCCAGTAGCCAGAATGAGTCTTGCTAAATTATTTGCGAAATATAGGTGAAAATATTCATTCACAAGTCCCTCCTTTTCTTAGCTATTCTGTATGATTTCATCTAAGTAATAGTTTATCCATGCATAGACAAATCTAAGCCATCTCATAATGTTATTGGACTCTTTAATCTCTTCTATGGCTTCTTACTGTTTTAGGATAGAATGGCACATTTCTGAAACAGCACTAAATTCCCAGTTCTCAACCCTTGCTTACTTTGAGTATTTCATCTCTTGCATAGAACTGAGTTTTTCAGACATTGGAACTTTAAACTCTGTGTGAACCATGTGCTGCCATACATGCTTTCATGTGTTTTCTCCCCTGTGAAAAGTCAGTCCTGTTTCCTCCTCGTGTCATTCATTTAGAATCCAGTGCATACCCTTGCCAGGAGACATTTTTTTCAGTTCTCCGCTTTTCTGTGCTTGGCTCTCTCCATTTTAAGTATTTTTGATTGTAGTATTGCGTGGACATGGAATATAGTTATGTTCATTATCCTTTGTCTCCTTTATACTGTGGTAAGTTCTTGGAGAGAAGAGTCTTTGGCAGATTCATCTCAATTTCTCAGAACCTAGCCCGTTGTCTGACAGCATACTAGGCACACCAAAATTACAACCATCCTATACCCCCTCCAGAGATGACTTGGTGAGCCAGTTCTTTGTTTTCCATTCTTATACAGTCACTATCTTTGTAAGTTATACAGTGAGAAAATAAAAATAGCTTTTACTGCTATTGTCAGCATGCTCTACATGCAGAGAAATTTCAAAGAAAAATAAAAGTACCAGTTGTATAAAAAACTAGCTCTTCCCATCCAAAGAGCAAAGCTTTGTGTTCATTAAGATGTTTCAGTAATATACTTTTTCTTATTCAGTGTAGTTTAGGTATTTCACTTTTTTTGTCTTTCCTTTCCTAAAGGTATGAACTTCTCCACACCTTAAATTTTGATTCTATCCGCCGACGTATGAGTGTAATTGTGAAGACCCAAGGAGGTATGCATCTTTAAAATCTGACTTACTTATCTTTTTCTAATTGTAAATTTTTTTTGTCAACTTTTTTGAGGAAAGAAACCTTTTATGTAGTTTAGGATTAAGTAATCTTACAGATTTTACTGAAACAGCGATTTAGTGTTTCAGAAATGTCACATTTTATCCTAAAACAGTAAGAAGCCAGAGAAGGGTTTGAAGAGTGTTATAACAGTATGAGATGGCTTAGATTTGTCTATGTATGGATGAATTATTAATTATATTAAATTATACGAAGAGTTAAATGGTCTGGAACTACCAATTATAGAAGTCTAGAGTTCAGAGAGTGACTGGTTTTCGATCCTTCTCTGACCACAATTATTCTCCTACTGCTTTACAGACGTGTGATTAACCCAAGTTTCTAGGAAAGGGCATTTTGTTTCATTCCAGTGCTACAAACTGTGAAAGAATAAAACTTGCCTTTTCAATTGCCGGGCGGTGGTGGCGCAAGCCTTTAATCCCAGCACTCGGGAGGCAGAGGCAGGCGGATCTCTGTGAGTTCGAGACCAGCCTGGTCTACAAGAGCTAGTTCCAGGACAGGCTCCAAAACCACAGAGAAACCCTGTCTCGAAAAACCAAAAAAAAAAAAAACTTGCCTTTTCAGAGAAATGGGTACCATCATCTCTAAGTTCTTCAATATCTTTGGAAGGCACTGTGGTAGTTTGCCTTCTGTTCAGATTCTGAAAGACTCATGGGACAGCATGCCTTTATTTGCAAGCTCTCAGATGTATGTACATGTGTGCACATGTGGTTTTTGGCCTAATTTTCAAAATATCCTTAATTTATTTTAGTATTAATTATTTTGCAAATTCCTTAATGATGAGAAATGGAGAAAGGTGGGTCACTTTTACTCTGCCTTCTGGGATGACTGCAAAGTCATGAGATTGATTTTAATATATTCTTATGAAGTTTGTTTATGACTTAAATATACTTCAGATGTTTGATTAGAAATGAAACATTTAGCATTTAAATCCTTACTGCTTTTATGTGTACACATCTATACCTATATTCTTCTGCAAATGGTAAAATGCCTGCAAAAATGATATACAAAGGTCGCTGGTCCCAAAGCTACATTTTTTAATTTGCTCAGCTATTTACCTCATAAGGATAAAGTGTCTTTTAATACTCAACAGTACATGATCTAAAACTGTATTTATGATATCAGCATTCTACAAAAATATTTTCAAGTTCCCAATACAGGCCATCAAGCAAGTATTCTTCTAGTTTATTCAAAATTAATTCAAGCTGTTGGAGTGTGAATGTGGTTCTTGGCTCTACTTCATGTCCAGTTACATTTTCAAAGTAATGTCACCTGGAGTTCCTTGACACAGCCTACTAGTTCATGATTTAATGCAAGGAAATATAGCAGGGCTGCATGTAGTAGTATCTGACTTATTTATGGTGTCTATAATGTTCTGGAAAGATGATGATTGTTCTTTTGATAAACTAAAGTTCTAGATATTTCATTCCATTTGATTTAACATTGCAAGACAGGCTCAAAATATATAGCACCTGGATGAGAGAGGCCATCTTAAAGTTAACTCTTCTTAAAATCCTAATACCAGTCTTCATATTCTGAGTTGAGTGCTTTGGTTCTTTATTGTAGGAGATATATTACTTTTTTGTAAAGGAGCAGATTCATCAGTTTTTCCCAGGGTGCATAACCATGAAATTGAGTTAACCAAAGCCCATGTGGAACGTAATGCAATGGTAAGCCTATGCCCTTCCCTTCAATAAGTAAGTGGAGAAATATTGCATATAACTATGTTTATGGTTTTTAAATAGATGTTAAAGTTAATTTAGTTTATTTTATGGTCTATTTCTTGTGCAAGGAAATTTGGTTATATTCCTATATTCTTTATTTTGACATAAACTATTATTCTATACTAGTACTGTGGTCAGAGCTAGTACTAAGTGAAGATGTTTCAATGATCTTACTTGTTGAAGATGTTTCAAGGAGTTTTTTTTTTTAAAGAGCTGTTAGTTTCTTAGAACTTGACTGAATGTTAACTCTTTGGCTGCATTCTGTTCATTTTAAAAAATTAAATGTGTTGCCGGGCGGTGGTGGTGCACGCCTTTAATCCCAGTACTCGGGAGGCAGAGGCAGGCGGATCTCTGGGAGTTCGAGGCCAGCCTGGTCTACAAGAGCTAGTTCCGGGACAGTCACCAAAGCTACAGAGAAACCCTGTCTCGAAAAACCAAAAGAAAAAAATTAAATGTGTTAAGAATTTTTCCTGTACAGATGGGTAAAGCAAATTCATTTCAAGAATATGATTGGGGCTAGGGAGATTGCTCAGAAGTTAAGAGCATGCACTGGTCTTACAGATGAGCCAACAAGTTTGGTTCCTAGTACCCACAGTGGGTAGCTCATAACTAACTATACCTCCAGCTCCAGGGGATCTTATGCCTCTGGCCTCCACAGTCACCTGCACTTATGTGCACATAACTATACACATACACTGACACATGCTCAACACATAATCTTTAAAATAGTAGGACATTAATTCAGCTATTACAGAGGTAACTGTAGACCTTCTGCTTTGCTTCTAGGATGGGTATCGGACTCTTTGTGTAGCCTTCAAAGAAATTGCTCCAGATGATTTTGAAAGAATTAATACACAACTCATAGAGGCAAAAATGGCCCTACAGGATAGAGAAGAAAAACTGGAAAAGATTTTTGATGAGATTGAGACAAATATGAATTTAATTGGAGCCACTGCTGTGGAAGACAAGTAACTAGATACTGTTGCTAATTTTTATTTTTAGTTTTTGAGGTTATAATATAATTACATCATTTCTCCTCTTCCCTTTCCTTCCTCTAAAAATGCCATGTCCAACTCTACTTTGTTCTCTTTCACATTCATGGCCTCTTTTTCTTTATTTGGCTGTTTGTGTATCTATTTCTAAATATATAAATGGTTACTCATGTTACTATATAATATGTAAGTAATATATTTTAAGTAATATGTAAATGTTGCTTGTATGTTTGTTTTCAGAGCTGACCATCTGGTATTGGATAACCAATTGGTGTGCATTTACCTGAGGGAGACTGTTTATCCTCCACCAGCCAGTATTCCTTAATTATTTGTAGTTCTTTATCTCTTCCAGACCTTTCCCCAGGCCATATTAGCATATCTGCTGAATAAAGATCTGCTCTATTATTTTAATCACCAGTCACTTAGGGTAGTATGACTCAGATTAGTAATTTATTTACATATTTTGAAATATCTCATTTAGCATTGCCATCTAAGATTATTTTACCATGTATAGAAAATACAGCAGATTTTGAACTCTAGAAATAGTTTCAAATTAAATGCATGTATCTAAGAAAGAATGAATCCTTTATCAATATAGTTTTTTAATATTTACTAAATCATCTAATTGTTTATGTAACTTTTATAAAACAACCTTACAGTACATAAAGCAGGGTTGTAAAACCATTATTTGAGCTATTTCCCAGAAGAATGGGTAAGATTTTGGTAAATGAGCAGAAAGGAAATTTCTGGTAAACAGCACAAGAATTTAACCTGCTTCAACAAGCCAGAATATATTTTTGAGTACTTTAAAATATGATTAAAAATAAGACAAATATATAAGATGAGATCTGTCAGACATTATTTTAAGACTTAGTGATGTGCTTGAAATATTTTTTTAACTTTTGAGTATTTTACAAGTTTTCAAAGAAAGGACTAGAGAAATGACTCAATGGTTTGGCATACTGGTTTCTTTTCCAGAGAATTTGGGATCAATTCCCAGCACCCACATGGTATCAGTAATCAACTGTAACTCCAGTCCTGAGGAACTTAATGCCTTCTACCATCCTTGGACACCAAGCATGCACATATCATACAAATATATGTGCAGAAAAAACCAACCATGCACATATAATACATTAATTAAATTTTTAAGTATGGAAAAAAATTACCGATATATTCAACCAATTGAAAGTATTAAAGTTTTTATTATTTTTATGTTAATATTTATTTATTCTTTGATACTTTCATACATGCATAATATAATATAATATAATATAATATATAGTTATTTCATCCCCATTAACCTCTCTCATCCTAGTCCTGCTCCCATTGACCCTTCTGTTTTCATGTCTGCTTCCTTGTCTGTCTTTCTGGTTTGATTGATTGACTGATTGATTTTGTTTTTTGCAACCCACTGATTTCAGTTAGCATTGCTTGCATGAGCATGAATGGTATGATCATTTACCTGAGCGTGGAAAACTTAATGGTGACTGTGCCATTAAAGAAAACGAATATCCTACCTCAGCAACAATTAATTGCCAGTAGTTCCTCAGAGAGTAACTATATGAGCTCCTTGCCTACTTATGAGAGAACTGTTGATAGGTCCCATCTTGTGTAGGTAAACCCATCTGCTATGAATTTCTGAGTGCAGTGGCCATGCAAGTCCAAAAGTTAGCAGTTCAAAGTACTCTTCCTTTCTTCCAGCCCTTATATTCTTTCCTCCCCCTCTTTCAAGATGTTCCCTAAACCACAGAGGGATAATATAAAATTCTTATTGAAGTCTGAGCTGTAAACTGTCATTTATTTTCATACTTTGACCAGTCATTTCAATAACTATCACCCACTACAAAGAGAATCTTCTATAACCAATATTGAGAGCAGCACTAATCTATGAGTATAAACAAAAATATTTAAAAGACAATTTGATACCATTTCCATTTAGTAAAAACAAAAATCCCAGTAGATTACCTCTTAGGGCCTAGGACCTCCCCAGCTACAGACTTTTGACAAGAGTTTCCTTCCATAGAATGGCCCTCAAATACAATCCTTTAAAGATTTGTTTATTTTCTGTGTATGAGTGTTTTGCCTGCATGTATACCTGTTGCGCTACATGTGTGCAGTGCCCTTAGAGGTCAGAAGAGGTTGTCAGATCCCTAGAAACTGGAGTTACCAACAGTTGAAAGATGTCATGTGGGTACTGAGAATCTCCTCAGTAAGAGTAGCCCATGCTTTTAAACCACAGCCATGTCTCCAGCTCCCTCAGATATAACTTCTAGAAACCAGTTGCTTCTGCCTGTCAATCACATTCACAGTATATTGTATCATGGATATATCTTACTGGCAGGTTGATCCTGTAATCCAAAGGGTTCTTGATAGCTCCGCATTTTTTTCTTTTCTTTTTATTGATTTATTTATTAAAGATTTCTGCCTCCTCCCTGCCACCGCCTACCATTTCCCTCCCCCTCCCCCAATCAAGTCCCCCTCCCTTGTCAGCCCAAAGAGCAATCAGGGTTCCCTGCCCTGTGAGAAGTCCAGGGACCACCCACCTCCATCCAGGTCTAGTAAGGTGAGCATCCAAACTGTCTAGGCTTCCACAAAGCCAGTACATGCAGTAGGATCCAAAACCCATTGCCATTGTTCTTGAGTTCTCAGTAGTCCTCATTGTCCACTATGTTCAGTGAGTCCGGTTTTATCCCAGGCTTTTTCAGACCCGGGCCAGCTGGCCTTGGTGAGTTCCCGATAGAACATCCCCATTGTCTCAGTATGTGGGTGCACCCCTTGCGGTCCTGAGTTCCTTGCTCATGCTCTCTCTCCATCTGCTCCTGATTTGGATCTTGAGATTTCAGTCCGGTGCCCCAATGTGGGTCTCTGTCTCTGTCTCCTTTCATCGCCTGATGAAGGTTAATATTCAGGAGGATTCTCATTTTTATTCATTCTCATCTTCCCTTAAACCTTTCCATCTTCAACTTCTGTCCTAAAATTTTTTTGAAGATTCATCTTATTTTTATTTGAATTAAGTGTGTGTGTGTGTAATGGATAAGGGTGGTGAGAATTCCATGTATGTGGGAATACCCCTGCAGGACATACATCTGATCTCTGATAGCAGGAACCACAGGTTGCTGGGAGCCACCTGACACATGCTAGCAATTGAAATAAGGCCCCCAGGAAGAGTAATACATGCTTTAAACCCCTAACCATCTCTCCAGTCCTCTCCTGAAAAATTTAATAACATATATTACAAAAAGTTAAAAAGTTTCATTGTGACATTCCCATACATACACATATTTTAATCATATTCTCAGCTTTTATTGTTCTTTCCTACTTCTTAAAATTCTCCTTTCCCTTCCTCCTATTAACAAAATTTCTTTCGTAAAATTTCATTGATTATTCTGGTGACTGAAAGTTTAGAACCTAAAGAATGTGTCATACTTCTATCCTTTACCTTTTAAAATTGTTCTTAAATCATCATTAAAAATTACTGGGTTTCCTCTTTATTATTTCTTTTCTATGATACAGGATATCAACTGTGTAGCTCTGGCTTGCCTAGAACACAGCATAGAGACCATGTTAACTTCAAACTCATAGAAATCTACCTTCATTTGCCTCCCATGTGCTGGGATTAAAGGCAAGCTACCATACTTAGCAGATTTCCTAATCTTAAAAGCTCCCCAAAGATAACAATTTATGCACAGTCCCCATATCTAATTAGAATGTTTTAGCTCTTTCCATTTTGGAACATGTTAAGAATTTGTTGGTTCGACTTGAAAGCTCATGCATTTAATCCCAGATTTTGGAGGCAGAGGCAGGGATCTCTATAAATTCAAAGCCAGCCTGGTCTACATAGTGAGTTCCAGAACATCCAGAGCTACATAGTGAGATCATGTTTCAAAAGAGAAAAAAAGAATTATATGGTGAGATGTCATAGAAAATACACTTAAAGTGACAATAAATAAAGACATTTGGTGAATATTTGCATATTTTTGCTTATAGTTTCAATTCTTTTGTTTATTTGTTTTGTTTTGTTTTTTGAGGCGGTTTCTCTGCAGCTTTGGAACCTGTTCTGGAACTAGCTCTTGTAGATGTATACCATGATTGCCAAAAAAAAAAAAAAACTCCACCTGCCTCTGCCTCTCCCTCCTGGCTTTATATTTTCAATTTTTATTATGCTGCTGGGTACCAGTTACCTCAAGAAATATGAAATTTTCTGAACTTCATTGTTTAGAATTTAATTTAGTAAGAGAAGCTCTACCGGAGACAAAAACAAAGGTGATAAGGAGTCAGGATTCTAGACTTGCATTGCTAGTAAGCTGTAAGAATGCTTGCTTCAACAGACTTCTGTCATGAAATTTAGAAGTTAACAAGGTTTCTTTGTGTTTGTAGGCTGCAAGATCAGGCTGCAGAGACCATTGAAGCTCTGCATGCAGCTGGCTTGAAAGTCTGGGTGCTTACTGGAGACAAGATGGAAACAGCCAAATCCACGTGCTATGCCTGCCGCCTTTTCCAAACCAATACTGAGCTCCTGGAACTGACCACAAAAACCATTGAAGAAAGTGAAAGGAAAGAAGATCGATTACATGAATTGTTAATAGAATATCGTAAGAAGTTGCTGCATGAATTTCCTAAAAACACTAGAAGCCTTAAAAAGTAAGAAAGTGCATCTATTTCTTACTTATACATTTATACAAATGTAAATAAATAACATTTACATTTTTTTGCAGAAGGCGCTACTTGCAATAATTTATCATTCTCTGTTGATGTTTTATTCTTGTAAGTTAAAACGTTCCCCAGAGGACTTGGTTAATGGTCCATTTGAGATCATTTGTCACTTTATATCTCTCTTAATGTAAAAGAAAATTAGATTTCTCAACATTTTGTGTTAAAGCTCATTTTTGGTTTTTTTGGCAGTGCTGTAAATTGAACCTAGGGCCTTACACATTCTAGGCAAACACTCTACCACTGAGTTATCCCCAGTTCTCTGTCCTTTTTTTTAATGAATTTATATTCACAAGTACTAAAAGCATAAAATTGTACATACTAAGTTAATGAAATATTTGATGCATGCACACACTATATGTTTAAATTAGGGCTAAACACACTTTTTCCCAAAGCACATTTCTTTATAGCAAAAACTTTCAGAATCATCCCTTCTAACATTTTGAAATTTATGTAAATTAGTGTTACGTATAATCACCCCACTCTATAAGTAATATACCAAAATTTCTTCCTCCTGTCTAAGTATTACTTACTATTTTTGATCAACTTTTCTTCATTCTTAAATCCACATACTCTCCTAGCTTTTGATAACCACCCTTATATTCTCAAGTTCTATGAAATCAGTGCTTTGAGATTCATATGAATAAGATCACATATGATTTGTCTTTCTGTACCTGGATTATTTTATTTGCTTATTATATTACACATGATATAATGAGTTCATGTCATCTATGTAGCTGCAAATGACAGAATTTTATTTTTTGTAGCAGCATGATATTCTATGTATGTATGTATGTCCCATATTTTTTTCACCTGTTCTTAGTTGATAGATACTTATGTTGTTTCTGTCTCTGGGCGCTTGTGAATAGTGCTGAAATGAACACTAGAGTGCATATGTCTCTGACCTTCATTTTGCTGTTATATATATAATCAGTAATGAGATTTCTGGAGTATAACAGTAGTTTTCATTTTCTTTAAAAGCTTATTCTAAAGTAGCTCAATTTCTAAACATTTAGTGTCTGACATACAGTAACATCAGTCCGTAACAGAAAATTGATTGAATTTGGTCTATTCTAAGTGTGTGGGTGTGAGACAGAGATATTTCATGCTTGTGTTGTGTGTGTATTAGTCACTTTTCTATTGTTGTAGTAAAACACCACTACCAAGGCAACTTATAGAAGTTAAGTGTTTATTTGGACTTATGTTTCCAGAGGAATAAGAATCTGTGGTGCCAGATCAGAGGCATAGAAGCACAAACAAAAAGCTAAAAGCTTATATTTTTTGATTGCAAGCACAAAGCAGAGAGACCTAACTGGAAATGGCATGAGGCTTTGAAACCAAAGATGTCCTTACTCTAGCAAGGCCACACCTCCTAGGCTTCCCCCAACAGTGCCACCAACTGGAATTCAAGTGTTCAAATGTCAGAGCTCTATTGAAGACACTCTTACTCAAACTACCACAATGTGCATTCAAATTGTGATCCACACAAATCCCCTACCTCTGTTACCACCTCCTTCCAACCCACAAATCTTTTACCCATATTCATGACTTCGTTGTTTGGTTAGTTGATTGCTTGCTTGGTTGGGTTTTTTGTTGTTGTTGTTGTTTTGTTTTTTTGTTTTTTACTTTTGTTTTGTTTTGTTTTAGAGACTACTTTGTGGCTGTGTTTTTGGAACTGATTTTTTGAGACAAGGGCTCACGTAGCCCTGGTTGGCCTTGAACTTTTGATCCTTCTACCTCTATCTCTCTTTGCATTTGTTTTCTTAGCACCTAAATGCCTCTTAGTCATATTTAGACGTTAAAACTACCTAAAAAAAACTTTAAAATATAATTGTGTGGTACCAATTTGTGCCCAATATTTTCTTTTTTACTTAGTCTACAAATGGAGCCAAGCATGGACAGTTTATTTTTAAATATAAGTAAACTAGGGTTAAGAACCATAGGTCATATAGAATGTTATTTATTTAAATGATGCGTATGTGTATGTGTATATATATTGTTGGCTTTCTTTCCCTTGGTTTTTCAAGATAGAATTTCTCTGTGTAGCTCTTGCTGTCCTGAAACTCATTTTTTGTAGGCCAAGCTGGCCTCAAATTCAACAGAGATCCACCTGCCTCTGTCTCCTGAGTGCCTGGATTAAAGGCATGTCCCACCACCACCCGGATATATAATGTTCTTTTATTTTGTCCTATTTGAAAAAACCCAGTTCTATCGATACTCTTGTCATTCAGGCAAAGATACTATATTTATTTGCCCCTAAGTCATTTTATCTTTTGTTTCCCTAAAGTTTCAGGTTAACTGATTATTTATCTTCATATCAAATTTTACATCATTTCACAGTAGTTTGACTAATTTGTATGTAGTTCAAAAGACTTATTTTAAATTTTTTATAGAGTCATACTGCACAACCACCTTCATTTTTATACTTTTCAGAACTTAGAAACAGTTCTTGCCCCCATAGCACTGTTAACCCCTTGTGCCCTGTTATTTCTTTTGTATAGGCTTCTTAATAGGCAAACTTCACATAATCCACTTTATTCTTTTTGTTCTCTTCTTCATTTTTCTACTGAAGTTGACATTATCAATTAATCCTCCCTAAAACTCTCCTTCTTAGGCCAGTGAAATAGCTCATCAGTTTAAAAGCCCTTGCTATAAAACCCTTCTAACCTGAGTTCAATCTCCAGAACCAACAGTAAAAAGAGAGGACAAATGCTAGAAAGTTGCCCTCTGACCTTCACACATGTGCCATGCATGTGAATATGCATGTGCACACAAAATAAAACTTTAAAAAACAAAAACCAACTCTATTTCTCTGATGTTCACCAAATGCTGATATTTCTTCTTTTGGCAATCTAGTATCTTCATTTTCTCCCTAATTAAACAGTTTTTTCTAACTAAAAGTCACTATTGCTATCATTGGGGGCAGTTCATTCTTTGGGATGAATAAATGAAAGAACTAGAACTGGTGACTTGTCTCATCTGGGCTATTCACCTCTGTGATTAACTAACTCAAACTCAAGCAGGGTGTGGTGGTGCATGCCTGTAGTCCCAGGACTTAAGAAGGGAAGACAAGCAGGTCAAGGAGTTAAAGGGACCTTCTTAGTTACAGAGAGAGTTGAAGATCAGCTTGATCTTTACGAGACCTGTCTCAAACAAAATAAAAGTCAAGGTGTTAATTCTAACTGTATAATAGATTCAAACACATTTTTAAATCTTTTTCAGAGCATGGACAGAACATCAGGAATATGGATTAGTCATTGATGGCTCCACATTGTCACTCATACTAAATTCTAGTCAAGACTCTAGTTCAAACAACTATAAAAGTATTTTCCTGCAAATCTGTATGAAATGTACTGCAGTGCTCTGCTGCCGGATGGCACCATTACAAAAAGCCCAGGTAAGTGGATATTAGTTAATTTTCCATTCTGGATCCTCTTTACACATCTCATTTCCGTGCCTTTTCATTCTTTGTGAGCAAACCTGAAGTCTCTTCCAAATTATTTTAAACCTGTACTGTACCTTGTACCCTCTAGCTTGCTGACCAATTCTTTACCTGCTAGACTTCTCTAATGAGTACTTAGTTCCTACTGCCTCTGCCTGGTGTTCCTTCCTCCTCATGGCATTATTAACCCTATGTATCCTGATCTTTCTTCTCTTACTATTCTGCTAGCTTGTACACAAATAAACCTGGCCCAATTCCTTAAGCAATATTTTTTTCCTGGTTTCGTTACTACAGTTGACACTATCATTTACATTCTCCTCAAAATCTTTCTTGATTTCTGTGCTTGCCCAAAATGCTGATATATTCTCCCTCTTTGGCAGTGTAGTATCTTTTCATTTTGTTTCATTCTGTATTTTTAGATTTTTATTTTAATGTGCGTGAGTATTTTGCCTGCGTGTATATCTGTGCACCATTTGGGTTCCTGGTGTCTGCGGAGGCTAGACTAGAGCATCAGAACCCCTGAAACTGGAGTTACAGACATTCATGAGCTCCCACGTTTGTACTGAGAATTGAACCTGAGTCCTCTGAAAGAACAGCCAGTGCTCTTTACTACTAGGCCATCTCTCTGGCCCATTACCCTGAACTTCCTTAATAGTTTTTCTTTTCTATGGTAAAGTTTTCCTTTGATTTTCACTTTATGGACTATCTCTCTCTGGATTAACTCTTCCTTCCATTGATACAGCTCTAGTCTTGGCTTTTCCTTAAGATTATGTCTCCTGTTTCTAGCTGTCTGCTAGACATTTCCATTTGGATTGCCTACTACCACGTTAAATTCTAGTATCTTAAGATAGATCTTAGAGTTTTCTTGAACAGTTTATTCCTGTTACTAGGGCCATTTTACATTGTTCCCTGTGTATCATATTATAGTCTGTTTGTTTATTCTGCCTATTTTTGTCATCGCTTCCATTTTCATGAACCTTTTGATGTTGCTCATGTTTCTCCCCTCCCCAGAAGATGGTGTATCTTGTGGTTCAGGTCTCAATGTAGTTTATATCTGTCACTATAATTACTTTTTCTAGACTATTTTCTCTTAGTATCTTATGTTCATATACACAATGTTTGAGTCATTACCTTCTGTCCAAATCTTTGGGTTCTATTATAGATCCATTTTTTTGGGTTGTCCTTATTGTCCCAGCTATGCCTTCTCTGCAGCTTAACCATCATTTTCCTTAACATCTCCTATTATTTCTATAACCAAGCTTACTATAGTTTCAACTTTCTAAATTCAAAACCTTTATTTATTGATGGCCCTCATGCTTTATTCTTGTATGTGGCTTTAGCTATCCAAGTATGTTTTCTAGTACATTTTGTTACTTTTTTTCTACTTGTTTTTCCTTTCTTCTCACTTCTTTCCAGAGCCAGACATTGAGTATCTCGTTAAACTTTATTTGTAATTTCCTAGCTTCTTTTTATTTCCTCTTCACTTTGTTTTCTACCAGTGCCTTCTGTGTAGTAGGAGCTACGGGCTGTGTTCCACCACCCGGCTCCTGGCCACCGGCTAGCTTTATACCCGAAATAACAACACACAAATTGTATTCATTTAAACACTGCTTGTCCCATTAGCTCTAGCCTCTTACTGGCTAACTCTCACATCTTGACTAACCCATCTTACCAGGAAGATTCTAGCGTATGTCCATCTTGGGCTGGAGCTTCATCACGTCTGCCCTGGAGAGGAAAGCATGGCATCTGCCTCACTTCCTCTTCCTCCCAGCATTCTGTTCTTTTTACTCCACCCACCTATGTTCTAACCTATCAGGCCAAGCAGTTTATTAATTAGCCAATGAAATCAACAGATTGATATATGACACTCCCACATCACTTCTGTACTTACTGCTACTTGTACAATATTCTTCCATGTTGATCTGAATTCATGATCTATACATGAAAATTCATTGATCTAGTCACACCAGACCTATTTTATGAGTGGTTACTATTATTAATTCCCTGTGTGCCTTTTGGATATCATTCATTTTCTCTGAAAACATCTTATTATTTCCTTACACGTACAAATTCTACTAGTATTTCATTATTTTAATCATGGTTTCTTTCATAAAATAATGCCTAATCGGCAAATACTTTCCTCTTTTTTGATATCATAAGCTTTCTTATATGGAAAATTTTCACATTTGTTTGTTTGTTGGGTGGTATGTGTACCTTGGTGCACATGTAAAGATAAGAAAACCACTTGCAGAAGTCTTTTCCTACCCTCCTCCATATGGATATCAGGGATCATACTGGATAATAGCATGTACTCCTATATAGATACCATATTTTATCTTTATTATTTATCTGTTTACCTTATATACTTGAATTTATAATTCATTTCTATTTTTATTTGCATGCTTTCTAGTGACCACACCTCTTTTGTTATTAGTATATTGTTTTGAATAGTAGTTTGCATCTATTTATACTTAATGAAAAAGCTATTTTTAGTTAAATTAACTTTTTCTTGAAACCTACCTACAGTTTAGATAAAAACCATGGGTAACTTGAAAAGATTAGAGAAAAACTATATATTTACCTTACCAATTCATTTGTGACTCTACAGTCAGTAATCACAAATCCTTTTATTTTCTACAAGTACAAATTATAATCTTTCAACCTAACCTATATTTTTCTTGAAAAGGTTGTCACCTTGATAATTATATTGCCTTCCAGGCTGCAATTTTTAATCCTTGAGGTACAAATTATTGCTGCACATAGTATACCAAGGGCAAATTAGTTAACATTATTATAGCCCATTAAAACTGAATTTGAGTTTGGATTCTTTAGCTTTGTCCTTAGTTCTTTCACTTACAGGAATAAGAGAGTATTTCTGACAATCTTTTGTAAAGTTCTTAATAGGAACCAAATTAATTGGAGTGGTCATGCAAATGCTAACATTTCACTTCATTTTTATGTTGAATGAAATTCGACATGTAGAATTTTTTAAATGATTTAACGCAGCTAAAAACTAATTGCATCTTATTTAAAGAAATGCTATGTTGTCTCTTACTTGCATAAATTATTTGTAATCATTTCATTATATTGAAAATGAATTTTATTTATGCTAACCAACTAGATAAATCAGGGGACAAACTTTTTGGAAAGCATTATTTAGCAGCTGAAACTTACATATCATGTTAAGGCTACTAAATTCCAAGGAGTCTTGAGAGTAGATGTCAAACAGTGACTATCTGAAACAGTGGAAAAACAGCTTTGACTCAAGTATTTTCCCCAAGAAACTTTCCATGAGGTTTTGGAGACCTCTAAAGCAGAAATCATTGAACAACACTATAGGTAAACATTTTTTATTAAGTATTTGCCCTTAACACAGCATTGAATCACACTCAATGTTTTCACATCTAGATGAGCTACTATTTAGAAAGTGACTGAATTTGTAGCATTTTTCTGCAAATCTCACCTCTTTTAAGATACCTCCTTTGAAATGTAGCTACCTGTAAGAGAAAACAAACATATTGTGTGGTGAGGAGAGTTAGTAAAATGTAATTGGCAGCATAATAGGTGCATAAGATTAGCATATATGTTCCATAATTACCATTGGGGTATTCTAAAGGGAGATAGGAATGTCTTCAGAAAGAAAGGATTAAGAGATAACCAAAACACTATTCTGATTATTCCATTCTTGTTCTGGTAGCTTTGTACATGTTACCTCAAATCCAATTTATGGTCTCCACTCTCACATTAAAAATATAATCTAAAAAGAACACAGGAAAAATGGCAAACGAAGGAAACGTGCCAATCTTTAGTAAGCATGTCAAGAAAGGTTTTGAACATTTATGCATGTACAGACCTAGAAACAAATGGGGTGCTAGTGTTTCATTTTAAATGACTATGTTACTTCACACCTGATAACTTAAGACTCTCACACATGTATGCAAACTAACTTTCTGTTTGGAAATCCTCCAATTACACCTATTAATGACAGTAAACCCCAGTGAGTTACTACACATTCTGCTTTTGATTTTTCTGTCTCTTGTATTTTATGCTTAGATTGTCAGAATGGTGAAGAACTTGAAAGGCAGCCCTATAACACTGTCAATAGGTGATGGTGCCAATGATGTCAGTATGATTTTGGAATCTCATGTGGGAATAGGTAAGAAACATTTAATGTGATGGCCTCTATAAGGTATCATTGGCAGTTTTGCTTTTTAGGTTAAATCAGTCTTACTCTAGATTGTTTTAGTTACTCATCTGGAATTTGAACTTGTGAATAACTGTTAATATAATAAAAGACTTCTTATAATAGTGACCATTCCAAGGTCCTCCCCATAGTGGTGAGAGGGTATTTGTATTTGACAATCAAAGTGAATTTTTTTTCCCAAGGCAGGGTTTCTCTGTGTATCCCTGACTGTCCTCAACTCACTCTGTAGACCAGGCTTTCCTGGAACTCAGAGATCCACTTGCTTCTGCCTTTTGAGTGCTGGGATTAAAGATGTGAACCACACCCACCTGACTTCAAAATGGATTTTTCAAACCTTGTGTCACAATTAATTGAGTAGTTCCTATTTTGGCAGCATGCATGAAATTTTATTAATTTCTTACACCTTTAGCCAGGCTGCCTACTCTATTACTGTTCCCTCTGTTTTTCGAGATTGTTAACTGTTAGAAGTTAAGAAATTATCACTGGCTGGCTCATTGTCTACAGTGGTATTTATGGGTACCATGGGCTATGGTGTTGAAGTCTTATGTTGACTTATACCAACAGTTTTTCTGGAACCTACACAAAGTTTTCACACACCCAATTGCTATTAATTATTCACACACCCAGCAACATTTGGCAATGGATTGGGAGCACATACAGAATTGAAATATTGTATTATTATATAGTGAAGTTTAGATTCCAAAATTCCTTCTCCTACTCAAAAGTAGAATGATTTAGCATGGAATTCTAAGTTTTTCTCATTGGTTACCCAATGTGGAAATGGCCTATAACTCATAAAATCCATGAGTAGCTATTGAGTTTCATATAGTGAAAGGGTTTCACTGTCTTCTCATTGATTTCTTTGACCACAAAACCCAGACCTCTGACTTGCCTTAATATAACATCTAGTTTAGTGTTATGCACAGTTAAGCACATACGGAATGCCTTAAATAATTTTAAGGTGGATTTTTCCCCACTAGATAATTTTTGCTTTGTAACAATTAAAATAATGACTAGTTAATTGTTTTATATTGTACTAACAAATAGCTAATAATCAATTAAACATACTTTTATTTGGTGAGTCTCAGTATTATTTTTAAAGCCACTCTTTATTTTAAAAGAAGTAAATATAAGGTATACACTTGATTTGTAGCATTTAAATAGCTTAAAAATATAAACACAAACCAGGCATTTGCTCATTCTATAAAGTTATCACCATACAAAATATTCTCTCTTTAGGTATTAAAGGAAAAGAAGGTCGTCAAGCAGCCAGGAATAGTGATTATTCTGTCCCAAAATTTAAACATTTAAAGAAACTGCTATTGGCTCATGGACATCTATATTATGTGAGAATAGCACATCTTGTTCAATATTTCTTCTATAAGGTATGTGATCGATCAGATGTTTATAATTTAGCTGTTTTGCAGGGGATTGTTTTTGAGACAGGATCTTGCTACATGGCCTAGATTTAAATCAATTTGTTTTTGTTTGTTTCTTTTGGTTTTTGAAGACAGGATTTTTCTGTATAGCACTGGATATCCTGAACTAGCTCTGTAGATCAGACTGGCCTCAAACTCACAGAGATCAGCCTGCTTCTACCTCCTGATTGCTGGCAGTAAAAGAATCAAACTTCTTTTTTTAATTAATTTATTTATTTATTTATTTTTTAATATTCCTTAATATATTTTATTTATTTATTTATTAAGGATTTCTGCCTCCTCCCTGCAACCGCTTCCCATTTCCCTCCCCCTCCCCCGATCAAGTCCCCCTCCCTCATCTGCTCGAAGAGCAATCAGGGTTCCCTGACCTGTGGGAATCCCAAGGACCGCCCACCTCTATCCAGGTCTCGTAAGGTGAGCATCCAAACTGCCTAGGCTCCCCCAAAGCCAGTATGTGCAGTCGGATCAAAAACCAACTGTGATTGTTCTTGAGTTCTCAGTATTCCTCATTGTCCGCTATGTTCATTCAGCTAGTCCGGATTTAACCCATGGTTTTTCAGACCTAGGCCAGCTGGCCTTGGTGAGTTCCCGATAGAACATCCCCATTGTCTCAGTGTGTGGGTGCACCCCTCATGGTCCTGAGTTCCTTGCTCGTGCTCCATCTCCTTCTGCTCCTGATTTGGAAATAGAAAACACTATCCTGAGTGAGGTAAGCCAGACCCAAAAAGAGGAACATGGGATGTACTCACTCATATTTGGTTTCTAGCCATAAATAAAGGACATTGAGCTTATAATTCATGATCCTAGAGAAGCTAAATAAGAAGGTGAATCCAAAGACAAACACATAGGCATCCTCATGAATATTAACCTTCATCAGGCGATGAAAGGAGACAGAGACAGAGACCCACATGGGAGCACCGGACAGAAATCTCAAGAATCAAACTTCTTATGTAACTAGGGCTAACACACACTTCTCCTGTCCCAACCTCCAAGGTGGTGAAATTACAGATGTGTACTACGGTGCTGAGCTTTGCAATTTAATTTCTGTGAATCAAAACCAAGGTTTTACTGCTCCTGAATATAACCTGCTCAGTCTAGATAATGTTTGTTTTGTGTATGTGTGTGTGTGGATGATCAGAGATGATCATTTGCTATTAGATACCAATTGGTGTGATCTTCCTTGGGAAAGACTATTTCTTCCACTCTTGGCATTCCTTATGTAGGGTTGAGTCTTCGTGATCTTTTCTCCATCCACTTTTGCTTGTATATTGCTATTGTCCTTGTTCATCTGGTGTTAGGTGATCATGTTGGTGAGATTCTCTGGGTTAGCTTCTGATATTACTAGGAGATGCAATCTCACATCGAATTCCCTGATCCTCTGGCTCTTACAATCTTCCCCCACTCTTCCTTAGTGTTCCCTAGGTCTTAGGTGTGGGTGTTGTTTTGTAAATGTATCTATTCGAAACTCAGCTCCACAACTGTGCATTAGATTGTTTGTGGTTTTCTGTAATGTTATCTACCGATTTATAAAATAAGTTTGTTTGATGAGAGGTGAGGACTATACTGCATCTGTGGATATAAGAGCAAATATTTAGAATGTAGTTAGAATGCTGATTTAGTAAAGTGGTGACTGTATGTTTTCCTCCAAGACCCATGACTTCACTAGCCCTGAATAGTTAGCTAGGTTTCCAGTACCAGGCATCATTTCCTTCTTGTTGAGTGTATCTTAAAGCCAATTAGAGTGCTGTTGGTTACTACCAAAGTATGTGGGCCACCACTGCACCCTTAGGGTTATTAAGCAATTCTGGTTCTCGATATAGTTCATAGAAATCATTGATCAGTAAGACTGTAGGTTGCCTCCCTCCTTTGGAACCTTGCATGGTGCCTTCTGAATGCTATTCCTCAGGGAAGAGACATTCAGGTCAGTTCCAACTCAGGGGCTTCCAGCTTCCAGGCCCTTTGTCTGAAGTGTATGGTATCTTCAGCAATAAGGGCTTAATCCTTCCACCTTTTGGAGACAACCAAATAGCAATAGACTGTTTTTGGACAGTGCTGACCAACAACTCAAAAGAGGGCTTTTCATGCCTTTTATTGAGGTTTTTTGCTAGGTGGTCTTTGGCTCTTGGAAGGAGCATTGTCAGCACAGATTAGAAAATTTCATTTAAACTGTATATGCATATTTATACACAGACTTACATATTTTATAGGTTTTTAAGTATATAATTAACAGTATGATTCCTTATGACTTTTTCAAACTTCCTTGCTAAAACTTCACCTTTCTTCCTCTTTCTCCTGCATTTATCTCCCCTCCCTCCAAATTAGAGCCCCCATTTTTCTCATTTATCCAGTCAGATCACTTGTACTTGTATTCCCTTCTATATGACTCCCCAAACTCACCAACACTAGCAATGGTTCCTCTTTACATTTGTGTTTCTACAGTTACTCCAGGATATGTACTCATGTCTGAAGATTTGGAACTAAGAGCCTCCCATGAGAAAAAATATGTGATAATTGTCTCTCTGGATTTAGTCCTATCCATTTACCTGCAAAATTGATGGTTTTATTTTTCTTTACATCTGAATAGTATTCCATAGTATATATATATACTCACATTTTCATTATCCATTCACTGGTTGATGGACATTTAGGTTAGGTTATTTCTGTTTCCTAGCTATTGTGAATAGAGCAGCAATAAATATGGCTAAGTATCTGTGGAATAGGTTTTCTCATTCTTTGGACATATGCCGAGGAGTACTATAGCTGGGTCATTTGGTAGTTTTATTTTTAGCGTTTTGGAATTTCTCCACACTGACTTCACAGGGGCCTCACCTGTCTGCAATTTGCATGTCATCCTTGTGCGGGGCCTGTATAATTTCCTGGATTTTTTCAGTATTAGTGAACGTACTGCTGAAGTGAGCACTGTTTTTTTTTTATTTTTTGAGACAGTTTCTCACTATATATGACCCTGGTTAACCTGAAAACTCCCTGTGCAGACCAGGCTGGTCTCAGACTCACAGAAATCTACCTGCCTCTGCCTCCCAAGTGCTGGAATTAAAAGTATAAAGTGTGCTACTGCACCTGACCATTTCAGAAATTTCTGACTTTAAATTAATTTTGTGTATGTCTTTGGAATTCAGATTAGACTTGGTTTTCCAAAACCCTAAGGTACGTTGTCACTTATTTGAGAGCTCTGATTTTCCCTCTTTAGCAAGGTCTCATGTATCTCAGGCTGGCCTTGAAATATGTAGCTGAGGATGACCTTGAATTTGTGATCCTTTGTCTCTAATTCCCAGGTACTGTGATTACAGGTGTATGTCTTCATGCTGAGTTTATGAGGTGTTGGTGTTTGAACATAAGGCTTTACACATGCTGAACATGTACTCTACCAAATGAGTTAAATCCCCAGCCCCATCTTATGTTTTAAATGCAGATACTTAAAGATATAAATTTCACTCTTAGGACTACTTAACCTATAGGTCTTGGTATGTTGTATTTTCATTCAGATCTCTGATTTTTTTTTATTCCCTCCTTGATTTTCAGTGACCTATTCATCATTCCATAGAGTATTTTTGTTTGTTTTTGAGACAGAATCACACTGTGTAGTTCTAGCTGGTCTGGAACTCACTGTGTACCTCTGGCTGGCTTGAGATTCATAGAGATCATCCTTCTTCCACCTCTTTGTCTCCCAGGTACTAGTGTTAAAGGTATGTGCAACCATACCTGGCTCAGTGTTTTTTAATGTCTGTGATTTTTGTATATGTTCTATAGCTTTTCTTGATATTGGTATCTAGTTGTAGTCTATTTTTGTCAGTTAAAGTATAAGAAATTACTTTAATTTTCCTCCATGTATTAAGATTCACTTTGAGTTGGTTGGTGGTGGTGGTGCACACTTTTAATCCAAGCACTCAGGAGGCAGAGGCAAGCCGATCTCTTGAGTTTGAGGCCAGCGGGGTCTACACATTTAGTTCCAGGACAGCCAGGGCTGAAACCTTGTCTCAGGGGGGAAAAAAACTGACTTTGTATCCTATTGTTACTGTATGTTCTATTTAAGAGAAAGGTCTGTGGACTGCTGCGAATACTACATTCTGCTATGTTCACATAGAATTTCTATAGAAAACAGTTAAACTCATTTGATCTGTGATGTCATTTAACCCAGACATTCCTCACCTCTCAACACATACCTTTTTAAATAAGAATAATTATTTGTTTGTAAGTAGAGTATTAAAGGCACCTTTTATTGTTGTTTTGGTATTGCTGCTTTTTCTCCCTAAGTATATTTTTTGGAATACCTTTTTCTATCCTTACACCTAAGATTGTATCTATCTTGGATGCTGAGATGTATTCCTTAGAGGCAAAAAAAATGGATAGATTCCATTTTTAAATCAATCTTCTAATCTGTGTCTGTTTGCTGAGGAATTGAGACATAAGTATTATTAGTTTTGAAGTATGTTCATTCCTCTTATTACTATTCCTTATTTGCTTAACTGTTGTTTCTTTTCTATAGACTTGTGGTCATGTTTATCTTTCTCTTCAATCCAAAGGATTCCTTCCAGTATTTTCTGTGTAGGTTGTTTAGTGGTTATGAATTCTTTTATTCTGTTTTTATCACAATTAACTTTTCTTTCTCCTTCAATTATGTTAGTTGTGTTGGAAACAATTTGGTTGATTGTTGTCTTTAAGGGCTTGAAATGAATCATTCTAGAAGATCTCCTGGTCAAAGTTTTTGTTTAGAGACCTTGTATTATTCAAATGAACCTGACTTTATAGGTGACGTTATGTTCTTTCTTGCAGTTGTGTGTATGTGTACACACTCACACACACAAGTACTGCAACATCTTGAAGTCACTTCTTTCCCTTTACCATCTTTGTCCTGAGTATCTAACTAAGGTTGCCAGGCTTAACAGCAGATGCCCTTACTCACTGAGCCATTCATTACTCTGCCTTCA